GATTCTAGCAAAGTTTAAGATAATACCCATATGGCAGAGTTTCATATAACATAAAGCTTTCAAGAGACCATAATTTTGTATTACCCAAAGAGCCAGAAGAGGCTACTAATGTACCTTGGCCACACTTCCCCTGTCCAGTAAGAACAAATATATCTTTTTATTTTGCACAGCACCGGTTCCATCCCTGCAACCGTGCACTAAGAGGATTATCTGAATCATATTTTTTTATTATGTTTTTTATGTCACTGTCATAATCATATAAAAATACAAAGAAGACCATATAAGGACAGATCTGCTTCCTATAACCTTTCCGGTGTGAGCATAAATGTGCAGTGCCTGTTTCCATGAAGCCATCAGGAGATGGTGAGATATTTATCATTGTGCCTGTGTCTGCTTATGATGTGTGATGCAAATCAAAGAAAAGCATCTCTCTCTGCATCAGCCTAAAAACCAGTGCCAGTTTCACAGGTTGGTTTGTTTCTAACAGTGGTGAATTATTTCAGGAATATGATTTTCCACCATGGGAGTAAATTGGATTTCCCACTGCGCTCAACTTGAAATTTTTTACTGGAAGAGAATGACAGCAATTCAAGAAATATTCCATTTCTCAGAGTTAATGGTGTCATTACTTTTTGTCCAACCATAAAAGCTTCTTACAGGCATCCACTTTCAGTAGTGTGCACGTCCAAAAATAACCATTCTGAGTGAATTCAAAGACTCATTGAGCCACTGGCATAAACCTCAGTTGGCTGTAGATGGCTAAAGAAAAGTATAGAAAAGCACAAAAAGTTTGAATAATTCTGGTATTTCCTGAGCTAGGGATGACCTGATCTGAGAGACCTGACAAGAATGGTACCTAGCTCTAGCACTGTCCTTGCCTCAGGGATGTCACCCAGCAGTTGTGCTCTCACGTGCATCTCTGTTTTGGCTGGGACTTTCACTCAAGGAAAAGAAAGTCACAAGAACAGGTGTTTCAAAATTAAAGGATCACTTAGCATTCCATTGGATTAATAGGAAGAGGAAGACTAAATTAAAAGGACCAAGATGCTTAAGAATGTGGCCTCACTTCTTCACCTATCTTCTACAATGTCATATTTATCAAAGCAATGGGAGGTGGGCTGGGAATCAGGCAATGATGTCTTGAAGCTTCTTCATCTCTCTTTTCCAGAGACTGTTCATATGAGTTTATCAACTTGTTTACTTTTTAATTTAAATACTATGAAACAGATAAGTTAATATTTTAAATAAAAACAATTACATAAAAATCAAGAAAACTATTTTGTTTAGTACCTTGACATTGTGTGTGTTGAAGCATAACTAAGGGTTTTTTTTATTATTCTGTTTAAATCCTGCAGGTGTAATGTAGTAATGCTTTAAAGACTGTAAAAAACCAACTGATCAGAATGTTACAAAATTTCTCTGTTTTTACAGAAGTTAAGGCCAGCTGTCAAGTTGGGTCAATTTCCTGCACCAATAGCCTATCTTCCACCAAAAAGAAAGGTTAGTCTAGATTTCAAAGGAAGAAGTACCACACTTTTTTTTATAATTCAGTCAATAAATATCTTGATAATACCAACTGTAAAAAGCAGGAGACAAAAGATCCATGTCTGAAATAAATTTTGACACAAAATTGATTATAGCTGTGGGGAATTATTTCTACTAGCTGTGATGAAGGGACATTTTTTTCAGGCTGACACAGAAAAAAGTCTGTGTCCTTAGCTATATCAAACATCGACCTTTCTCTTTATTTTTTTCTTTTTCCCTCTAACTTACATATATTACTTATATAAGCAAATTCATGACAATTTTTTATTACTCAAAGATAAGCCTCTTTGTTAATAACTCTTACCTTACTTATAACACTAATGAAGCTTTTGATTCAATATTTGGCTCTGCATCCCAGCACCTCTCTATTTGCAGTTCTTGATCTTTTCTTCACATTTATAATAGGTGCTGGAACTTAAGGATCTTAAAGGTCCTGTTCAACCAAAGCCATTCTGTGATGCTATGGTTCTGTATCTCCATTTTCCATTATGCCTACACAGATGGTTTGTCAGATTTATGAAATTATTGTTGTCACTAATATACTCAAAGCTAATAATTGTCCAGGAGACTTCAATATTCAGCACATCCCAAAACATGGATATTCCCTGGACTTCCAACTTATTCTGGATGCAAAAATGTTTAAAAGATATCCCTATATTTAATTCTGACGCCTGGTTTTCCCATAAGTAAAGAAGGAATTAGGAATATATAAAATTTGAATTTTGATTTGAAATGTCTATTTATCTAATATACAGACAAATCACTTGTATATCTCACGTTCAATTTAGTTTCTTTTCTCTGATTCATAGCTTTCTATAACTGCTCTGGGAATTGCTATTAAGCTGTAATAAGAAGTCCTGCCTAAATTTTTCTTCAAAATACCTCAAGCAAGTCATAATCAATTTTTTTTCAATTTTCGCAAGAAAACTTTTTTCTTTATATTTGATTGTAGCACCTCTGCCTCATCCAAGCTTTTCTGCTTTCTTAATGTGTTTTAAGTGAGGAAATTTTCTAATTTTTCTCATTACAGCTGTTACTTTCACACCAGCAGTATTAGTAAAATACCTTATGCTTTCCCTTGTACTGCATCAAAAATCATCATATCTTTTAACTGGCAATTTGTCCTCTTTATCTTGTGTCCTTTCCCTCCAAGGAATAATATTTTGCAGAGCCTGAGACTTCCACATAATTAGATCATACAAAACATCCACTACCCTGTCTCCCACTAAGACAAGAGGACCTTAAGGTTTAAATTACTTCAATACATTCTAACTGTAGAAGATCAATTATATTTCTTTTGTTTGGTCTCATTAAAGTTCAATTTCATCCACATCCCTAACACATTTCATTATAGATTCTCTTTATCTGACTTTTTCAAAGCCTAGTCATTTTCTCCCTCATGATAAACATATCTTGATTTAACGGCATCTTTAAATTCTGTCTGCATTTCCCTTGAACAAAATTCACAACAAAAGAGTAGAGTTATATTCACAGAACCATAGTCTGAGCTGGAAGGGACCCACAAGGGCCATCCAGCCACTCTTAAATTATATTGTCAATATATTCCTGAGGAAAATAAGCGGACCACACTCTGTTCTTCTAATAAATAATCAAAGTACCTTCTTCAATGACACAATGCTTTCTTTTACCCGGAATCTGAGGGGAGAGGGTGGGGTTTTTTTGTGTGTATGAAGATGCACATGAATATATGCAAATGGTAAACAAATGTATTACTGCGAAAAACTAATTCTTACGGTAAAAATCCAACTTTGCTTGGGAAGAATCACACCACTGCAAACCTTATGTCACCTTTTCAGTAAAGTTTCAGAGTTCTTCAGAAGGCCAAACTGAGGCAAAGTTAGCTGAACTGATCTATTTCACATTGTCAGAAGATACACACTAGTTCCAAGTCCTACTTTTTGTAGTATGTATGTATCTTAGAAATATATAGTTGCAATGTATAGATACATATGTATACTACATATATAACATGCAGAATCATATCTATATCTTTATCTATCTATATCTATATATATCCCACATATAATAAATCATCATGGATACATTTTATGGCTATGGAAATGTTTCAACACTTTGCTTCTTTCTCTTCTTAAAATTTCTCTTCCATTTACTAAAATAAAAAGCTGCTGGGTGATTAGATAGCATTCTAATTGCAAGAAATGACATTTTTTAAGTGAGGTATCCATAGACATTTTTTGCACCAATGGAAAAAAATGAAAGACGATCACTCTGGAGTGACACAAAGAATATTCCTATGATGTAAAATGTTTCTTAAACTCATGCCCCACTCAGGGAAATTTACAGATTGCAGTACAGCATTATACCTAACTAAACTAAAATACCCATAAGCAATTATATTATTATCATATTAATTTAACATTACAATTAAAATGCATGTAACTGAACTGTAGTGAGTCAAATACAGTTTTAAGAATTACATTTAAAATCATATCAAATTATAGGCACAATGACCACCATTAAAAAAAGACATAAAAAGTCTCCCTGTTTCTAGTGCTTGTATGTTTATGTCTGCCATGTGGTAATAAAGAAACAGGATATGGAACTGATTTCAATTTTTGTCAGTATGATTAACATTGGGAAATACCAATAATTCACTATATGTAGACATTTCACTGCTATTCCATTTCTTTTCCAGAGGCTAGAGGTCAACTTACCTTCAGTGTGTCCTATCAGGTCTCTCTTAGTGTAAAGAAAACCCAAAAAACCAAACCAAAACAAACAGAAAAAAAACCCAAGTAAAAATATCTGTGGAAACTGTGGAAAAGGAAATTCTTTCCCTACCAGAGCTTTTCTATGCTGCTTCCAAGATGCTGCAACACCTTGCCATGCTTGTGCTCTGTATTTTCCTCTCTGACCTCCCCACTTTGTTACATTCCTCTAGGCCAAATCAATCCTTCCTCTTACATTCCCTACACTCTCTCCACAGCTCTAGTATATCCAGCTCTATGGGACTCTACTCATCATTTAAGTTTATATTAAGTTTATATTATATATATATATATTTCTACATTAATATCATGCTTGTGAAAATCATTCACCACAATATTCAAAGTCACCCAATATTAACAGAGTCCTCAGCCAGCATAAATGTTAAATACAAAGATGGGTTATCACATGTGTAATTTCCTATCTACCTTCACTTCTCACTAAAAGGTGAGAGCTAGCAATCATTTGGCTCCCTGCCTTTGCAGGAGGCAGATCTGGTGAAAATGAATAAAAGCAATGCAGAGAGAGATCCAGGAGAATGATCAGAGGAAAGGACTCACCTCTTTTAGTCAGTTTTCCATTTTAGTTGTTTCAATAGTTAAAGAGGGAAGAGATTTTTTTGCACACTCTTTAATTCAGATGTCAGTTCCAATACTTGTCTGGAGAAAATTAATAAAAGCAATGCAGAGAGAGATCCAGGAGAATGATCAGAGGAAAGGACTCACCTCTTTTAGTCAGTTTTCCATTTTAGTTGTTTCAATAGTTAAAGAGGGAAGAGATTTTTTTGCACACTCTTTAATTCAGATGTCAGTTCCAATACTTGGTGCTTGGCTGTTCTGAAACAGAATCAAAGTGTATGGTTAAAACTACTAGCCTGAAACAAGATAAAATTATTAACATGGCAAGGTTCTATGTATTCATTAAAAATCACAGCAATGTTGAGATGTTTTATAACAATGTTCCATGGCAAGGTTTTCACATGGTTCCAAACTCTCCTTCTCTCAACAAAAAAAGAATATTTATATTGCATAATGCTGCGTTAGTGGTGCCATCTCAACCTTCCTAGTCTCCCTGCACAATGCATGAAGAGTTTGTTGGTTCTTTCACCAAAAGATACCAAGACTAGTTACATGTGACTGCCTCAGTAAATCTCTGCAAGCTCACCTTTCCCCCACTCACTCTCTTCCACAACCTTTTCTCACTCTATATAAAACACCATGGAATCCTGCTGCCTGTGTCTGGAAAAGCAGAGGAGAATGGTGAGAAAACCTGAACCACCCAGCTGTATACACCGTGCTTCCCACACCAGCATTCGATGGGTAGTGGACAAAATTGCAATGGGAAGCCACTGCACACTAAAATATAAGATATTTTAAAATTATATAAACTGAAAATACTTATTTATAAGCCATTTCTCTCTCTTGTAAGCAAAATTATATACATGTTTTTCCCTCTTCTTTCTCCAGTACTACTTACTGAGGCTAACAGAAATAAATGGCTTTCCTCTGTGTTCTATATTTGTTCTCTATGAGTCATCTCACTATTTAAGTTTTGTTTCTGATCACCTAATGGTCTAGCCTATTTTATTCTGCCTTTTTTGGGGAACAATTTGAAAGTACAAGCCAGAATAAGTGTGAATATTTTGTCTTGTAAATGCATTTAACATCTCATATCAAAAATTTACTGCAAAGCTTATGGAAAGAAAATAAATTCACAGCTAAAGGTGCATTGATACTAGCCTTGGACTATACTGAAGATTTATCACTACAATATGTTTGATATGTTCTTAAGTTATTTTAATCACTTCATACTCATTCAGAGAAATACCTTTCCACACAACAGTTACCTATTGGGGGCTAGTTGTCAGAAAAAGCAAGTAAAAATGTTCAGAGAAAAAATAATCTGAAAATATTACAAACTTATGCATATAAAACTAGAAGAGATCAACCCAATCAGAGTCTGATGTCCCACTTCCCACAGGCTAAAAAAATTAGATAAATTAATTCCTTTGGAAGCAGGATGCACATCTTAGTAAAACATCAAGCTTTGAATTGAAATTCTTTCAAGTAACCACTAAGAGGAAGGAATAGCCTCTGTACACAAGAGGTGATTATTCCTGGGAATTCCTTGACCTCAAAAGCAGTCAAACAGACAGCTGCAACCTCCTCTTTGTTACTTTTTTATATTTATTGTGAGTCCTGTTGAAAAGATAAACTAAATTCTGACACTGCTTCAGAGTCCCTGACATTACTGTCAGGATAGAAACATTCTAGTGTTTTTAGTGCTAGTACTCCAATGACAGCACCTTGTGCAGAGCTGGCTTTGAGGGCCTGCCTCTCCCTTGAGGTATGTAACTATCTTTAGTGCATATCTTCTTAATTCTAAAATTAAATTTCCAGTTCTTTCTCTGCAGTTGGTCTTGGTTGGTTGTGCATTTTTTTTTTTTTCAGAAGCAGGAGAAAACAACATGTTCAAAGTAGGAAAATGTGACGATCAAACTATCAGATTGGCAGTGGGATCGAGAGAGGTACAGAACTAGAAACTGCTTTTAAATTATTTCAGAAATCCACAGATTTTCTATTGACAGGATCTCTTTTCAGGAAGGCTTTAATTTGCCTATAGTACTGACTACATCCTAAGCATTTCAGATTTTCTGTGAGAGCATAAAATTGACTGAGTATATTTAATTATAGCAAGTAAACTGGATTGATTTTTTCTTATAGCATCTCTTTAGGGAGTTTACAAACATAAATCTCTAAAGGAACAAATCCTCCATGTCTTTAGGAGGAGATTTGAGTTGTGAGGACTTCTCTGAACCCATTGAAACTCCCATACTTGAAGATTTGGTTGAGAACCTTGCTGAAGCTGAGCTCAGATGGGTTTCTCTTAGCTGACAGAATTTGCTTGGATAAGAGAAATGATAACTTGTCAGATGTATTTTGTAATGACAGAGGCACTGAAGGCAGGCAATGTAAAGGTATCACCTGCAGCACCCAAGTGTTAAGCACACTGTAAGCCACTGCCTGAAGTGTAAAAAAGAGAAAATTTGAAAGCAACTTTTTGCAAACATCTAAGTATATATGACAGAGTTTTCAGAGATGGCCATGGACCATCTTCAGTGCTTCAGATTCTGTACAAACAGATGGCACTATCCATGTCAACAGCCCAAACTAAATCAACGTTGACTTAATAGTTTTAAAATTTCTTTAATTCTTCAAATGTTTTGGTCTTTCTTATTTGTACATGTCTATGCATGCTAGCCTTCTCTGACCACTTTCCCTATTTTTCATTTAATCAGAGAGGTACAACCAGAAGAGGTTCACAAAAAAGCAAGATGATGATGGAGCACACAGACTGACTTCTGCATGAGAGACAAATGAATAGAGTAACACTACAAAAAAAGAGAAAATTGAATCACGGAAGATTATGAAAACAACCATAGGACATTAAATCAAGCTGATTAAGAGTCACATCATAAAAAGTAATGCCTCAGGTTTTATCTCCTATATTTTTCAGATTCTGTACTGCTTTAGTGTGTAGTTCTGAGCTTCATATTAAGGGATAGTAAGCTCTCTTCTTCTTCTAGAGAAGGACAGTAATTCCTTCTCTAGCTAGGGACCAAGGACAATCTCAGGCCCAAGAGCATAAACAACATGGACTGAAGAGAGAAAAACAATAAGAATGGGACTTCAAAACATGAAGCTGTAATTGGACAATTAACTCCAATATGCTAATGGACCAGAACTTATAAAAGTGAGAAACCTCAGGACCGGTTGCCCATTTTGTGACCATTTTGGGTTCATCTTGGGTGTAGCCCTGGCTGGGCTCTTGTACTGCCCAAGATGTATCCATTGAGGCATTTTACTAAATACCTACTTTATTCTTTAACTCTGTCTAGCCTCTGCTCTAGGTGAGGCTTTACAAGGCATCCAAAGAAAGAAAGCTGAACAAATAAACAAAGAGGGCTGGCTTTTTCTGCAAAGTGCATTTGAACTGTGGGACTCCTGCCACAGTAGGTTATGGGGAAAAAAAATCATACCTTCAAGAGAAGGAAAAGTGTGGGAAAATTCCATTTCCTCAATTTAGGTAGCTAGAAATGTTTAGAAATATGCAACTCAGAAAGACCCAAAGTTCAAGACATCATGAGGTTAAGAGAATATGTTTGACATGTTCGCATATTCTTTCTTTTGATCTCCAGTGCATGAAACAGGGCATGGGACAAAATATTTTTGGGGTTAATGGTAATTTTTATAATTTTTTGGTGTTTTTAGATAGATTTTGTTAAAAAGAACCTGGAAGAAAATGTGGAAAAGAAAAGGAGCAAAGAGTAACCCGGAACAGGTGCCTAGGGAGGCTGTGGCATCTCCACCATGGGAGATCCTGAACACTCAGTTGAACAAGACACGCCACAACTTGATAACTGCCTATAGTTCCTTACTAGGTAAATTATTCTGTGAATTTGTGAATCTGAGAAACAGAATCTAATCATGTCTGTACCACTCCTGTGCAGAACACCAATTCACAGTGTGACCATTATCATTAAACCAAATTTCAATGAGGAAATGAAGAGCAAGTCTTCAAGTGTTTTATTACTTACTAAACCAGTTGATTTCTCCTCTAAATGATGCTTCTTTACACTCCCAAGGTTCTGCTCGTATGCATAATTTTTAATTAACAATGCATACTGTAAAGGAAATGGATGAAATTTTTGCCTGTTTTTTTTTCACTATTTTTTTCCATCTCTTCTTATGTTTTATTAAAGTAATTCGCAGTGAAGGTGGATGACTATCCATTTTTCTGTACACAATATCAAGATACTGACCTACATTAACAACTCAAATCTGTTCCATTACCAAACTGTACTTAGAGGGGCTTTATACATACTGCAATCTTTCAATGAGGGTGAGTACCTGAGGTGACAAATGGCAGATAACCTCTGATGTTCAGAAGAGACCTCTTTCAGATGATGATTTAGTGCCTATTAAGTCATTAACATCAACATTTTTTTTTACTTTTTAAGCACTGGGCAGGAACCTCACATATTTGCTACACAAATGATAGCAAAATAATAATAATTGCAGAAATTAGCACTGCCTAGTAACTACACGCAAATGAACTTCTAAAAATTTAATTACAACCACACTAGTGTAGTAGTAATGGGAATACCATAAAGCTTAGCAATGAGCAGAAAACTCCGTCTTCTTCCTATAAAGCCAAGACTGCAATATCACACACATTTATTGAACCTCATTTGTAAAATTAAGAGTCTCCCTCAGACAATTAAAAATCATGCTGAGTACTCAGCCACAGTAAATTACGAATATAATTAAGTAAATAATAAGAAAGCCCAAGTCCCTACTTAAACACATTGCCAATTCAGCTAATCCAAGCACAGCAAATATTAATGCAATATTTCAATGTCTACAGCTCAGCTCCTGATCTACAGTAATAATAACACATTAAGGTTTTGTTCATACTCAGAGCAAACCACTTATTTTCCCCAAGACAACTGGAGCACCAGGTTGCCAATAATAAGCTGCTCATATCTTCCATCATCTTGCTCAGGAAGGCAGGCTGAGAAGATGAGCACTTTTAGCCTGATTGTATTTGCCACCAATTATAGAGTCACAGTCTTTTGATGATTCTTCACTTTAAACTGAAAAGAAGCTAACCTGAAGGATTAAAATCAATGCCAATTAAAGGACTCTGCAAAGTGTGATTTTTAATTACGCTGCCTTGGGAAGTCACTACACAATCACTATTTGCATTCCATTATTTCTGCATACAAAGCACAAAAAAATTGTGTCTTGGAAAAACCTTCTGATTTTAGCAGCTG